CTCGGAAACTCATCCCATCTGGCTCCGAATATGGTGAGGAGCAGAGGAAGATTAAAAGTGGATTTATAAAGAGCCTACGTAATGATTGTGATCAGTGGTGGTTAGGAGGATCGGGAAAAATGGAAAAGGCAGCAGTGATAGGTAACGGTATACAATTGTTCAGACTTATCAAGAAGACGTGTATTAAGAATCCAAGTGTTGGCGAAACTATCTCGGTAACAGATGAAGATATCACTCACTCTCAATCCAGAAGACTGAACCGATGGGCAAAACAGTTCAACTAGCCTTCAGACACACCTCATTTACCCATTATCTCCATGTAACTTGAAAGGCAAACTCTTGGTGATATTGAAAAGGCTAAAAGTAATCTAAAGTGATGGAGAGCAGCAGGGCCTGATGATCCAGCTTTAGCAGTTAGGTCAACTAGGATTTTAGCTAGAATCTGGGAACTGAACGTAATCCTCTGACTGGTTTCAATCTGGAAGAAAATATAAAAACCCCCTTGTGAGAATCACAGAGGAACTAGTTTAACTAATATAGTGTCCAAAATATTAACCTCAATAATACTTCGATGTTTAACTAGAGCTCGTGAAAAGTGAACCCGATTAAACCAAGTTGGTTTGAGACTTGGAAGTAGATACATAAATCAAATATTCACATACTTCTAGACGTCCAACTCCGTTGACCGTGAGGTTCTGTGGTAGTGTATGTCATTCAAAGGCGTCCAAAAGAAGTAGATTAACTCTGTACAGGCTCTCTACTCGAATATTGCTAATGGCGAACTATCATAGAAATTGGTTACTTCAAGTGGAGTTTGTCAAGGTTGTTCGCTTTCCCCAGTTTTATATAACTTCATCATGGACATGCTTTTAGAGATAAATCTTTTATCGTTCGACTTTTCAGAGATTGATCTTCCACCACGAGATTTGCTTGTTGACTTACGCAGATGATATAGTTCTGTTTGATGAAGGCACCTACAAAATGTAGAGTCTTCTGACCACCTTAAGCAACAATGCAAGCATAGTGGAGATGCGGCTCTCTCCCTTAAAGAGCAAAACGTCGATTCAGGATTGACTTGCGTTGGTGCCTGAATTAGTGATAGGGAGTAAAGTAGTTGAACAGATCGATCGCCTCACTTATCTTGAGATTCTCATCAGTCCTGGTGGTCTGGTGTCTGTCGAAATCTCGGCACGGATTCAGTAGAACCCATTGGTTTTTGTCTATTTGCGCCTCCTGTGGTGTAGTCGAGATATCCGTCTTCCAACCAAAGGGTCAGTTTACTGCGCAGCAGTTCCCTCAGTTCTACCTTATGGATATGAAACATAACCATTAGGAATAGAAAATATCCTTAGGTTACGGGTATTCGACCATAAGTGTCTTTGAAGCATCGCTCGTGTATTTCGAGATCATGGAGTAAGCGATTCCTGAGTTAGGAATAGAGTACTAGGCGAAAATGGGGAACCGATTGATGAGGTAGTAAATGTTCATCAACTGAGATGGTTGGGACATGTGTTACACATCCTAAACGCTTACCTAGAAGGTCGATGTTTTCTGGTGTAGTGGTAGGCTGAAAGAAAGCTAGAGACGGCCAAGTCAAAACATGGTATTAGTTCATGAATAACTTACAATTGAACTGAGCCAATTTAATAGGTGTAGACTGTTTGATTGAGGTCCGTGTGGTTACCATAACCAATGGTTAGAGAATGAATGATATGGGTCTTGGATTTTCATACCAATTGTTTTCTGTTCCGTTCTTTCCTTCTCGATCTTCTACTAAAATACATTCTATTCCTGACTATCGTTATATACTGGATATACGTAGCTCACATCACAATATCAACTAGATCAATAAATGACTTAATCCAAGAGATCAATTATGAAGAAGATACTTCCATTAAATAAGCTATATAGACTTGATAGTTTGCTGAAAAAGTGACATCGATCTCTTTCCACTATTTAATATACCAAAATTCTATGAAAACAATCCTCAAGGCATAACATGAAATACTAATTAGTGTACTTATGAAATATTATGTATAAACTAAGCCATTACAAATGAAATTATTTGTGATTATTATGCACAAAATTCATACTTCTGTCAGTTTAAGACAGAATAAAGACAATATATAAATGGTGCTTAACCTTCATTTGTGGTGAGAAGTTTGATTTTAATAAAAATTTAGTCATATGTAAGCTTTATATGTACATTATTATACTAGTTATTTCAGTCAGTCAGCTACTACGTAGGACCAGGAACATATGTGCATCGGTCCAAGTTGCCATACTTCATTACCACAATAAAATGAACACCGAGTTCATAGAAGTAGTTAATTCAATGGTGATAATATATAAGACAAAGATTGCATATAAGAACATAGTACAGGTAGAAAAAATTATCTCGTGAAAAGAATGATGTAAAGCGATTTTAATCTCATAGTTTAAAGGACGACAAAGAGTGTATACACCTACACCGTTGTGATCGATTCTGAGCAATGTCACCAAGAGTGTTCAATCATTGGTTACGATCGTCACGCGGACCCCAAGCAAGTAGTCTGCATCTATCAACATGGCTCAGTCTAGAAGATAGTGACTTCAATCACTGATGCCATGTTTTGGTTTGGCCGTACCTAACTTTCTTCCAGCCATCTTCAAAACTAGTCAGCATTGCGCATAGTGGTAATCGGTGACCCAACCATCTTAGTCGATCAACATTTACAACCCCATCAACTGATTTACCATCATTCCTTAATACCCTGCATCTAACCTTACTTACTAGATGATCTCATCAGATGCGACCAATATTTCTAAGACATATACTTACGACATAGCTTGCGAATATTTTCTACTCTTAATGGCCACGTCTCGCAACCGTAAATAAGAACAGAACGGACTGCCGCACAGTATACTCGTCCCTTAATTAATAGACGGATATGTCGCATTTGCCATAGGTAACGTAATTTGGCTAAAGCCGAACGAGATATTTTATTTTCTTAAGTGTATTACCACACAGGATAGTAATTTATTAGTAAATTATGATAATAAATGTTCATGATCTATGGATGAATTATTAAGTTCCTATGAGACTTTTGAATTTAACAAATCTAGAAACTAGTAGATAATCTTTAAAATCGTCATAAAAACAATTTTTATTTGACAGCTTACGCTATTGTTCTACTAAAAACAATCTCAGTTAACGTACCACTGAAAATTAGAGGGGACTGAATAGTTGTTGTATTCTAGTTTGTAGCTCATCAGCAATACTCACAAATGGCCTCACCATGGATCATACTCAGAACTTTCGAGTCTCTCGATGGGCTTTTAATCATTAGAAATCAGTATCTACGACACTCCTTCTAATTATATCAAATTATTTATGATATATATATCTATATGTCTTCAAGATGGACTTCCTAGAGTTCTAAGAAAAGCCATGACTAGTAGATAGAGACAGTTATTCACCTCAGACAAATGGATGAAGAGTTGAGCAAGATCATGGATCAACTGAAGTTAGAATGTCTGCCCAGTGATTTGTAGTTTACGCGTTCGCGCTCAAAACCGAAGGTCCTAGGTTCGAGTCTCACGTTCGGACTCGTCAATACACACTACTGAGTTCCATGCTAAGACGAAACGGCTTTCCAATGTTTCCAGGCTTTCAATAGTGATCTAGCTTATATCAACTCATGAATTCAATTATTAAAATAAAATATTAACTTATACTCTTTTTCTCATAAATGTAAATAGTGCTTAATAGTTCATTTCCTTGTGTTTGAATTGTTTCTATGCTATAAACTGTAAATAGTAACTATTATAAATTATTTCCAATCGTTTAAGTCAAAAACAAAATGCTATCAAATATCATATAACATAATAATATCAATACTAATACTAATAATATTAATGGTGACAATAATGATAGCTGTGATTTGTATTATAGAGTTTATGCTGTTAAAAAGTGTTACCTAAGTTGGTTATTTTTCCACCTACCAACATCTCCCCATCAATTGATAACGGTATAATACTGCTATTATTACTACTACTAATAATAATAATCTTTTTACAGTTCATTCATTCCCAATCAATATTTTTGATTGCATTATATATATCCCCATTTTAGGGGTTGTATTTTCATTCCCACATAAATATATGTGCATAAATATGTGTACATATATATATATATATATATATATATATGTGCACATGACATAGAAGTAGTAGTCATAGCAAATAAATATCCCTGTTTCATAAGAATTATTGTATACACCTGCACATAACACACACATACACACAAAATGTGAATATCTTTATTGTGTGTTTATAATTGTGCAACAACAAAATGAACAACTTGAAAAATGATCATTGAAATATAATGGTAAAATATCTAAAACATAACAATCTATAATGATAGAAGTGTACACATATAAAAATTAAGGTCATTTATAACCATCAATGATATTTGCCCACTCTTTCACATTTTTTTTTCTATTTTTACACAAATCCAATTGGATTTTTAATATGAATGGTATTTGTTTTAACAGTCATCATAATTTAATTGTGCTGACAAGATTGGAATTAGTAACTATACACAGATTAAACAAGTTGCCAATTTTTTTTCTTTAAACAAACAAACAATTAAACTACTAATTTAATTTGAAATTTATTCAATATTCAATATACTACTGAATTCATTGACAGTTAATAGAGATTATTTATTAGTTCATTGAGAAACAGCACATGTTTTCAATTGGATCACATCCATATTGATCAGAAAGTTCCTTTTTCTTGTTGTTGTTGTTGCTGGTGCTGTTTTGTTTTCCAGTATGAAACATTGTAACTAAGACTAAAAAAATTTTTTTTTTAAAGAATGTGTTTCTATAGTTTCGAACGCAACAATTCAATGTTACATACACACATACATACAGGTACTAATTAACATTCGTCAGTTTTATACTATTCATTAATCTATAAGTAAAAAAAAATTTTTTTTCTAAATTTTTCATCAGAGTTACAATGATACAAATAATTCATCAAAGAATTCTACTAATGGTATTCATCAATTATTATCTCCATCTGGTGATAAATTAAATGGTATACATACAAATTTAATTAAATATCCTGATATACAACATACAAAATCTCATTCAATTTCATCTACATTATTATTACGTGATGGAAATTTATTAAAACCAACAAGTGTATATCGTGAACAAAGTCGTTCAGTTGGTGGAAGTTTATCTTGTGGTCAACCAAGTCCAACATCAACTGTTGAAGATAATAATACAACTGTATTTTCACCAACGAATACAAATACACTTGATATTCAAAATAATAATCGTACTATATGGTTATATCAATCTGAATTAAATTTACCAACAAATAGTGAAGATACTAGTCTTGATTCTATAATAACACCATATAAACGTTCTGAAAGTCAACAAATAACTATTATACCAGAATTTGATTATAGAAATCGTAATCATACAACTAATAATATTTCATATAATCCATACGTTAATAAATATAATTCAGTGAGTTCTGCCATGTTGTACACTGGTAATAATACAAATCAACGTAACATTACAAATGAAGACTATATGAATAATTATGTATCAGGTAAGATTATTTATTTACTCATTATATACATTGTGGTCAATAATTTGAATTCACGATTAATTAATTGTTTTGATCTTCAAGAATATAACCTCGACTAACATTTTCCCAACCACCGACTGCCTCGACGTGCGATGTTTTATGTTGTAGGAGTAGGTTGGAAGAAGGATAGGGGCGACCAGACCAAAACATGGCACATGTCCATGAAGTCACTGACAAGTGGACTGAACCATGTTGGTAGGTGTAGACTACCGGGTTGGGGAATGAGAGATGATAGCAACCGATGGTTAGAGACCCTGAATGACATGGCTCAAAATCATTTACGATGGAGCAGGTGCGTCCACTCTTTGTGTTCTCCCAAATTCTAATCTTCTGAATCCTCCTTGTCTCTTTTTTTCTCTTTCCAAATTTATGTCACTGGATTATACTCCTTGAATAACATCTTCAAACCTTAACCTTTCCGATTACTGCTTATACTTTTAACACCTCTACCACTACGGGATTTTAATCGACAATTGTATCTCTGTGCTAATGTGGTGTGGCAACCCGTACGTACGTACGAAGTTCTACGTTGTGACTAACTGACTGACTGACGGACTGAACGTTTTCCCTTAAGAGTAATTCGAATTCTAAGACGTTCCAAATCATAATTAAACGCTGTATGATTTATCTTTTACACGTAACAAAATGAATAGATTTAAATATAAAATTCATAGTAACTTTTGAAAAAAAAAACTTTCAAGATGTTAGATCAATGATTAGTTATGGTCAAAACTAGATTGAATATTGAACTAATATCATCTGGTCAATAAATATTCGATGGTACTCATTCACAACGCTATACGTGTTCAAATTCAAATCTTTAAGGATTCATAACTACTTTGTTAGAATCTTGTAATTTGCATTTTAATTCTCAGTATACTCACAATTATTCGAAACTGTAAGCGGATAACTGTTTCATTTTAAATATGATTAATCACATCGAGCAACGCTTTTTATTAGTACTAGTTATATGGTATCAACTCCGCCTGGAGTATTACTACTAAAGTTATCATTCAGAAGATACACATGTTTGTTAACAGTTGGCCATGCAAAATACTTCGGATCCGTTGGACAGACACTACCAATAACAATCCACTATGGGAGAGAATCCATAGGAGGAAGAAATCGAGAAGAAGTGTTGGAAGTGAATAGGACACATATTGAGGAAAGCACTCAACTGTGTCACAAAGCGAGTCCTCACTTGGAATCCTCAAGCTCAAAGGAGGAGAGGAAAACTAAAGAACACATTACTCCGAGAAACGGAGAAAGACATAAGAAGAACGAACAAAAATTGGATAGAACTAGAAAGAATGGCTGAGGATAGAGTGGATTGGAGTATGTTGGTCGGCGGCCTATGCTCCATTGAGGGTAACAAGAGTATGTAAGTAAGTTATGTAGTACTATCTAAACTACGAAAAGCTGAATAATTTTATGAAACTGGATATATTAAGTAATCATTTAATTTATAATATGGTATATGAATGAAGTCAAAATTAGTCATGTGGAATAAAGATCATAATCAATTTTATGTAAGTATTTAACTGTATTTACTATCCATCGGTTAATTCAATTAGCCTAATACTTAGTATAACATAAAAACAACAATTTTATGATGGTTTCTTCATTGGTGAATATATTTGACTGAATCATCGCTTGAAATCATTCCTATCTACTAATAAGTATTAAGTAAAGTTCACATTACTGAGTCTCCTTTGCAATCTATTTGAACAGAAATAGAATGTAATCTATATATATTCCTATGATTTTGATTAGTTATTACTTTTAAATTTACCGGGTGTCCAACTTACAATCAAATATACATTATATAGTTTCAGTTGTCTTCATAAAGAACATTTAACTATACAGTTTGAAGTATCATTCTACATTCTTGTCTATTTTTGATTGGAATGGTTCACCGATTGAAATCATGAGTCAATTAAAGCTAGACCACCATAGAAAACCTGGAAGCAATGGACGGCCGTTTCGTCCTACCGTGGGACTCCTCAGCAGTGCGCATCCACGATCCCGCACCCCGCGGGATTCGAACCCAGGAACCACTGGTTTCGCGCGCGAGCAGTTAACCACTAGACCACTGAGCCAGCCGACATCCAATGGTTTTAATGTCTAACTTCAGCTAATCCACGAAGTTGAGCGACACATCGACCATTGTCTTCAGTGAGTTGATATCTCACAACAGACCTGGTTGAACTTCACTTGTCACTGCTTCTCACTAGAACTCCAGGAAATACCACTTGAAGCCAGTCACTAGTGAGCATATGTTGATTAATATCAGATGGGTTTTGTGGATATTATAGTTTGTTTAATGAGTGTATCAGTGCACTATTACCTTACAACAGAATTAGGAAAGAAGTTACGAAATTATATCTTACACCATACTTTTTCAGATGATTCTTAAATAGCTAAAGATGAAGATAAAATACTCCATTTTTCTTTGTTATTTCATATATCACCAGTATATGCTAAGAAAATAGAATCGTAATGGATTAATTTGAATTACTAACTTAATGATCTTAAACAGAAGCTTGATCAATTATATATATATGTAATGAACGAGAATTCAAGTGGTGGAAACCAATTTAATTTGATGCGAAATTCCGGATGGATTTATAATATACGAAAAGCATACATTAAATACATTATTTACACATCATTCTTCAGTTATCCTTTATATGCTTCATGATTTCTTTCAATTCTCTTGTTATTACAGTTTCTCTTTGTCTTCCTCTCTCTTCTCTTTAATTCAATCTTCACAATCTTTCTCTGGTAGGTGCTACATACTACTTATATATATCAACATGCACTATATTTGTAGCCTATTAAAACTTGTTTTATGTCCTTTGATATACTTTATCATGAATAACATTCAAGCCAGTCGTAATGGATTACTGATTGGAGTAAATTATGGAATGAATCATCCTTTATTAATATAAATACCACAGCAGTAAATAGACTCTATGGTGCATATTAGATCAGATCAGTTTTAAACGTGTCACGCTTGGTTGTATTACAGAATAAAGCTACTGCCATTAGATAAGAAATACTTTGATACTAACGGATAAGTTTATGTTCGTTAATTATATGAATACATGCACAGTGTAATGACTTATTACTAATGCGGTTGGTTTATAAATCATGAAGTTAATAACTTCATCATCCTTAACACGTATTTTTATTTTTAAAGGGAAATATCATCAGATCTATAGGGTGAGACTATAATAACTTGAGTGACACTACATTGACCTTGAGAATTTCCACTTACTTTAGGGTTAGGTGTTAGATTTAGGATTTTTATCAAGAACTGACTTAAGCTATAATGCCAAAATGTTATTTAGCAAAATGGATGAATGAACTGTGACCAAAAATCCAAGACCTGTTATCTTATATCTGATTGCTTCAGCCGTAAATGATAGTCTCGCCGACCTTTAGTTAATATTTAGTGATAGAGTAATCATACTCCTGTATGACTGGTCAACTAACTTTTGTTAAACTGTGTAAGAAGTATTCTTGTGAAAATCCAATTGCTCGACGAAAGTATTAAACAATAAAGTCAAATGTGCTGAAACAAAAAAATAAATGTTCGAAAGACCAATGATTCGAAACTTCTTTCATGATTACTAAGTAGGAAGTAAATAAACCAACTTAATTACTTGTATGCACCCTCCGTAACTATACTTCACCATTTCAATTTACGAAGCACTCATTATAAACAATTAGTTTCAGAAATCAATAATTTCATTGTGTATTGGAACATATATTTAACTTTTATTTGCTAAACAAATATTGATACAAGTTACATGTACCTCATAAAATATTACTTACTTACTAATTTACTTACGGCTGTTACTCCCAGTCCAGCATAGGCCGCCGACCAACATACTCCAATCCACTCTATCCTCAGCCATTCTTTCTAGTTCTATCCAATTGTTGTTCATTCTTCTTATGTCTTTCTCCGTTTCTCGGAGTAATGTGTTCTTTCGTCTTCCTCTCCTCCTTTGAGCTTGAGGATTCCAAGAGAGGACTTGTTATGTGACACAGTTAAGTGCTTCCTCAATGTGTGTCCTATCCACTTCGAACACTTCTTCCTGATTTCTTCCTCCTCTGGATTCTCGTTTGTTCTCTCCCATAGTATGATTTTGCTTTGCCGATTCGCGCCTTCACACCTGTTCGTAAAATATTTATATCTCAAAAAAAAATTATTAGAGATTTTAATGTTTATTATTTTACCGAAATTATCATAGAAAGTTATGTTCTGTAAAAAGTTCATTTTATAATATTGTTACTTATACAAACATATAAATTGATCTGTTTACGAAATTGAAAAATTTGCAAGATAATTTACCCTTTTAACATCGAATAAATCTAGCGTATGAATAGGTTGGGGTGTACATTGTGTTGTTGATGTATTCTACCATTTAAACTGTATTGTCATCTGGTCTTCAAGTGTTGTTCAAATACTGTGCTTTTAATACACTGAAACTCTTCTCTACATATGACAATTATAGCAACTTCGACATCGTTTTCCTCTATACACTATTTACAAGTAATCTTGTAAGTAACGTCCAATGCAAAAGTATTTTATGAAAATGAATAAACACATTAATTTACTATAAGTTATCCTTGTATTATGTTAGTTTCAAATAATAAACACTTCGATTAACGTAAGCAATGATGGATAGTGGCTAGCAGCGGAATCCAGGACGCGCGTTTCGTCCTATTTGGGATTCGTCAGCTGGATGTACCTGCATCTCAGAGTTGATGTTCACTCTGGGACTCAAACCCAGTACCATTCGCTTAACGGATATTTTTGTTAGAAAAAAGAAATGATAATTAACTGATGGTTTATGTGTAAACTATAATAGAAAAACTAGAATGGAGTTTGAATGTTACCTCAAATTTTCAATAAATTATGCTTACGTTTAATGTTCAATACCTAAGAAATT